AATCCCGTTGAATAGATTTGATCTGGTCTAAAACGAAGTTCAGCTGTCCTGGTTGGATTTTACTGGAGTTATTTAACACCTACTGCCCAGCTGGGTGGGTTGAAGTGAACGTTTCCTGGTCTGTGGTTACTCTCCCTCTGGTTCAATTTAGATTTATGTTCAGGTGAATAAACTTCTGTCTCAATCCAAAGACCTTAAATCAGTAAGGACACTTAAGGCACTGCAGATGTGCCTCCGCTTTCGCCATAATAAGTGTTTCCTGAATAGTGCCGGCTGTAGGAAGGTGCTAGCACCAGGAAGCAGAATGCTTCCTAAAGCCAATGGAGTTAATATAGGAACCTGCTGACGTTTCTGGCAGTCGCTTGCAGCTATAAAGTTTCTCATAATCCTTTGCGTGACAGGAGGTAAAGACACAGCCCATCTCAGACTTTAAAAATAGAACATTATTGTGTGACATGTATGACTTTTATAACGATAGGCTTCAACCATTCACTACATATTTGTAACTTGGGTTTTTGTAGTTCTTTTTACAGAAGGCTCTAGTCCTAATTTGACCAGCTTCATTCACCTGTCTGTCCGCCACATAATGACATCAGTAAGGCTGTTTGAATTCAGCAAATCAGTCTGCAGCTCCTTTACTACTCTGGATAGTGTTCTTATTGTTGACCCCTCGAAGGGTGGGGATAGGAGCTATGAAATGGAAGTAGAAGCTATAATTTGAGAGATTCAGATTTAGCGTTTGACAAATTTTAAATATTATTTTGGTACAAAGAAATAAATAAAAGAACTTTGAAAATAATTCCAAATAATCAGAAAAACTATTTTACTGAACCCAAAGTAAAGCTTTAGATGTTCATGCATTTCAGAAAAAAATTTGACATTTGATTGAAGATGAGATGTGATCCAATGACACGATAATCTGGGGAAATATCCAACATTAATATTTCTATTATGGATTATTATAATTTTGCCCATCATGATAGACCAACCACAGAACTGATATTGCTTCTCTACTTCAGTTAAACACCCAGAATCTGAGCTGCATTACGATTATTGTCACATGACCAAACAAATACCATAAATTCCCTATAAATATATATATATATATATATACACACACCCTGAATCAAACTCAGGAGCCCACAGATTAGAACTTGTCACATGCTGATGCATCACAGGAGGGTAAGTCAAACTCATGTGTTTAAACTCAACTAAAATATTATTATTAAAGGTGTTGAGATCATTCTGATCAGCTAGGATCTAAAGCGTTTGGCTCTGAAGGGGAATCAGACAGGAAAGAAAACAGACACCCTGCTGAGGCAGAGTATTTTTCTTAAGGGGAAAGAGCACGGCTTTCAAATAAAATCTGATCAAATCAAGTGTGCTCACCGTCCCCTCGAGACAGCTGATAAAAACCTGTGACTGACATAAAGGATAATTTAGTTCCTGGATCCTGTTTGGTTGTTTTTATTATATGATGATGAGGAGCTCATTTTCAGGAATATTTAGTTCAGTTACATAAAGTCCCATCAGAGACAAATATGGAAACACAGGTAAAACAAAAGCCTGCGGATACATATCCTTGTTTTCTTTATAATATAAACGCAGAGGCCAAAATATTTCATTTTAAGTCGTTTTCTTTATAGTTCATGAAATACAACATCATTATTGACATAAAATGGAATCAAGTTTTATATGCTACTGTAGCTACATTATAGGTCTGTTTGCAATGGAGCAGATGAATGGATTTATTTGCATTTTTGTGTTTTTTAGAGAAGCAGTAGGTAACTTATGTTAAAGCAACTTTTTTACATATTTGTTAAAGCTGTCACCATGTTCTGACACTTGAATATAAAACAGACCATCATTGAGAAAAAAAACAAGCTGTTCTGCCTTCTCCCACCGGTCCTACTGCCATCTGAAAAGATTCACAGCTCTTGGCCAGAAACAACCAATCAGAGCCAGGAGGAATGTCCTAGCAGTGTCAGTCACGCTCATGTACCGGCATGCTGCAGCTGAGCATCAATGAAAACCATAAAGTTAATGTTTCACCTAGAGGCAGACCCATTCATCGACTTGATATATTATACCAATATTAGTGTTTTTTTCTGTAGAAGCTAATATAGTTCAAATATGTATTAGTGCGTTCAGTAATCATGCCTTGGAATTATTTGAAGTGCATGCATTGCCAGTTTGTCCATTTATGTTGTTTGATTTGTCAGGGTTGCTGTTTTTGTTAAATAGGATTGTTTAACGTCTGTTATCCTTGTGAAAATTGTTATTTTTATCATGTAAATAAACTGTCTGCACATATCGGCATACCATTAGACCAATGTTAAAATAATTGGTATTGACATTAGCGTTAAAACCTGCATCAGTCAATCTCTTCTTTTGTCCCTTCCAGTGAACTTGCCCTGTTTATTCTCCATCATCAGGGGCCATGCTTAATTGCAAAGTTCACATTGTTCTCCATACTGCAGTGTTAATGTGTTCGGTTTTATCTTTAAACCATAGACCAATCAGAATCTGAAGGTTGCAAACTAGTTATCATCATTTTTTCCATCACTGCTTAGTCAATACAGCCCATCTTACCAAACACTAATAGGTGATACGTACAAGACTGACGGGAAAGTTGTTACTGACTGAAAAACTATTTTAAGCATCAGAGGGGCTTTTAAGAATAAGGTCAAATAAGGCACACAAAAAAATGGGTCAGAAGCTAACAGACTCTTGGCTGTATTTTCAATATGCATCAAAGCAGCACCAGCAACCGAGAACAGGAACTTGATCAGCTGTTTTCTGTTTTGATGCCCTGGTCATCCATCAGCCCGGTTTTTATCATTTTGATACTTCCTTTGCTGGCACACATGTTGGATTTTTAAACAAGAGCAGCCTTGAAATCTTTAAAAAATTAGGTAGTCAATACATAGAGACCGTTTAGTGATGCTAACCATCCTAAAAGTGATAATTACCAAAATCAAATGCTTTAGACAGCTTAAAATGTCAAACCAGAACACTTTTGTTTGATGGAGGAAAATCCTTCTTAGCTCCATAGCTGTGTAACATCGTTTCACATCTTTCACAAACGGTGTGACATCACCTCTGCTCCTGGTACAAATAAATCACAATTTATCATAATCTGAAGGTTCAATAAATGAAGAAATGATTAAAAAAACTAAAACAAAGCAGTAAATCAGAACTTTGTTGATCTATGAACTTTGTTGGTGCTGTTATTTATTTTAAACTACAATATTTTCTGGACTTTAAGCTTTTTTAAACTTTTTTGCCAAGCTTTGACCCATGTTGCTTATAAGGAAGTGCAGCTTTTCTGTGGATTTCTCCAAACCCCCAGAGATTTGACTCTGGCAATGTGTACCTATTGAAGGGCCCAGTTAGTGTGTGTTTAATTACTGATGGCAGTGTTTTATTGTGTTTGCCTTCTTTGAGGAATCTACTAAAAGATTAAATATTAAATCATATGGTGAAAATAAGTCAATTTACTTTGACTTCCCCAGAGGGCAAAGTCAAAGTTGGAAATGAAAGAATAAGGGGCTAATTTTCATTTAGAAAAACATGCTAGCAGCAGACACAAGGGAGAACAAGAGTCATTTACGCATACAGATATACTTCCGGATCGTCCTTGATTTTATTTAGTTAAAAATACCTAAATGTAGTTTCCCTTTCCAAAACTAGTAAACGTACTAAAATATAATATGTTAAAGGTTAATGATGTATTTCTTGAGAAAATAAATGCCTTAAAATCCATTTTATCAGTTGCCTGTGCCCGATCTGCACCGGAAATGGGATCCTACGCTACTTCCGGGAGCAAACTTTTTCGGCTTTGAATTTAAACATAAATCTAGTGTTTATGAGTTTTATGTTTTCGTTTTAACCTTATGCTATATAGTGTGTAATCTAAAGAAAGAAACAGCAGATACGCCTGGTTTAATCATATTTCACCAGACTGCTTTGAGCATGTCTGATGATGATGTCAGAGAAACAGTTTAACGAAGAAAATCTAAAAAGCATAAAAATTGTCTCACAAATGTCATAAAACATTTTTTTTTTCCCAGATGTGTTTTATTATTCTTTAGTGAGTTATGGATAGAAATAAGTAGTTTTAGTACCATAATTACATTATTTATGGACACCCGGATGTATATCTGTTCACGAATGTGCAGAACGGATTGTATTTCCGGGACGGATCAGGTAGTGACAGCTCTTACTGCTGCTAACGGGAGCTAGCATTATTCTTCTTCCCCACATCAGGCGCTACGTGTAGAGCTCCCCCTACAGGTTTGGTGGAAGACAGTTCAGTAGTTATCAGCGGCTTATAGCCCAGTGGACCTTCTATATGTATGTTTCGAATTTTTAAAAATAATTTGGTAGACACGAATTATAGAGGTACGCTCTATAGTGCCGAAAATACGGCAATCATGTAGAGAAAAAAAGTAGTTTTATTCAGCACAATTTCTCACTCAAAAAAATTAAAATGAAACCATGACAAAAGCCAGAAGGAATTATTTATTATTTACAGATAGTAGTAAACACTTACCTTCCACTAGTTTATAATGAGGACAAACCGCAAAAATATATCTTAGATTAAAACTAAACACAATAAATGTAACCAAAAAGAGATGGAGAGGGGGGAAAAAAAGGGGGGGGAAACAGGCGTGCATTCCTGTCACGAATGCATGATAATTACAGATTCACCATTTATTGAAGACCTGCTCACTGCTTTTCATTACCAACAACAGACAGTCAGATAGGGAAATATGGAGGTGAGGAGGAGAGGAAGCACCTGAAGGAGAGCAGTGGTCGTGATAGGTGCTGGGGAGGTTACCACAGGAAAGAAGGGTGAGTTTGGGCGTGAGGAAAAAGGAGGAGAGACAGTAGAGGAGGAGGAGGTGGTGTTGGAGGTAGAGGTTGTCTGCAACACTGAACGAGCGAGAGAGAGATTTGGAGAGAGTGGGAAAAGAAAAAGCAGAGTGTGTTCCAACCTGGTCTGTGTGGTCCTGGGGGAAGCTCCACAGCACGGTTGGATCTAGAGGTAATTGACAGACAGCATTAATCAGTGGGTGAGAAACACACCGTCTTCGCTAGCTGCCTCAGATCACATACATATTAATGAGAGGGGTGGGGGCAAGGGTGGCTGCTGCAAGCCTCTTCACGCACACACACACACTGATACACACACACGTGGAGCAGCACACACTGAAAGAGTATCTAGGCTGGGCGTGTTGTAAATATGCAAATCTATATCCTCAGTGTAGACATGATAGCTGATATTATACACCAAATCATCCACATTTAACAAAGTCACAGGAAAACATTCTGGTTTATTTGCTTAATTATTTCCACATTTAAGCAAGCTTTACCGATTTGCTCATGAGACATAAACATTAAACCAAAAGGTTGATTTCTATAAAAGGGTTCCAATTTCTATTTTTCGTAACTTACAAAATAACAAGAGAGATTCAAAAGGATTATCAATAGATTTACAGATTATTTGAAATACCTAATTAACATATATGCTGTTTCGTTTGATACAAAAGCCAGTTTTCAAAAATACTATTATGCCGATCTTCTCAGTGTTTTCTAGTTGCTGATCAGGCAAAATAAAAAATGTTATGAGACAACTTTCCTGGCTTTTGCAGAATATCCAAGTCAGTGGGTGAGTCTCAATGAGAAATGTGCTGATGTTTTCCACAAATAATTAGTCAAATTACTCATAGTAACGACATTAACATGATGTTTTCTCTCTTCAGTATGTAGAACCAACTGAGAAAGGCGCTAAGAAACTGAAAGGTGACTCAAACCAGTATTTGTGAAAACAAGGATGCACTGAAAACGACGTTATGGGTGTTCATCATTTTCAGTATTGATGACATGTTTGAAATGGATTCAGGGAGGCACAGCTGTAAGAAGTTAGTCATTGTGAACTGTTCATTCCTCCTGCAGGAGAGTGAGAGAGAGTAAGAGGTAACAGGAAGGCTGGCTGAAGCCACAACATTATGTTTTACACTTCAGATTTGGGCTTAAACAATACATCGGATTCATTGATTATTGAAATAATCGTCAACTAAGTAATTGATTAATTGTTAACTGAATAATAGATACTGAAAAAAGGGCCTTTAACTGTAAGAGCAACCCACCTGCAGCAACATTCGAATCATTGCATATCTACAATGAACATTATCAGCAAACAGGTCAGTTAAGCTGATGCACGACAAATGGAAAAGGTGAGGAAGGTGATGCTAAATCACAGTCCTATGAGCAGCTCCACATCCATGTTACCTTGTATTTGTTTTACAGTATCTTTTGTTTACGTTTCCAAACTATAGAGCCAAATTCCTCAAGTGTTTGAGAGCAGGCAGTCACCCAGCTCTGGTCTGAACACAGGGGTTATCTGGTAAACATGGCTTCCACAGCCCCGAGTTCATCCTGTGACCCTCACAGGACAAACAGTTTAGAGACCAGATTTAGCAAACCAAGTTCACTATCATACTGAATACAGGGTAAAAATATTAATTAAAAAAGACAGAAAAAATAAAAGTCTTAAAGCATAGGTCTTTTGTTGTTTAATTAAACCGGTAAAAGAGTAAATAAAAAAGTAACAGAAGGCAGCACTAGTCAGATATGTTGAAATTTAGTAAACCATGTGCTGTTCTGAGTGAATGAAGGTAAAATAAAACAGTTTTAACTAAAGCAAAGGTTGATGGTCCAATTTAAAAGAAAAGACAAGTAGTCACACAGTGTTAGGTCAGGATTCGTGGCTAACAACCCAGGATGTCTGTGAAAACAAGACACACAATGGGAACATACAAGACAGAACACAGCAGAACCCTGTGGTACCTTACGTAATCCTATTGGATAATTTCATGGGTCTCATCCTGAAAAGAACAGCCCAGAAAAGCTCTGCAATCCAACGATGACTGCTCCCTTTCTTCTTACCCTATGATCCGCCACAGTTAGGGCCATTTTATGGTGATTTACTGGGTGAGAGGATGGGAACTCTAGCTAAGGATGAATGACAGACATGAAGAGGGACAGGAAGTCTGGAGAGCAAAGAGGCTAAGAAGATTGAAAACATGTAGGCATTTTGTGTAGGGTGACTGCTGTAACGTGTGATCCGATATAAATGAGATGTTTTCCACTAATAAACCCACTGTAATCATATTCCTGTTCCACGTGGGGAAAGTGACTGAACATAAAATAAACTGAAATAAAATAAAGTCCTCTTTATAGAAGCTCAAAGCAGAAAAGTTGTATCATCATGTTGATTTTAACCCATATGATTGAAAGCATCGAATGGACAGACATATTCAGTTCATTATAAAGCTAGCCTAAACCATGCAGTTTTAGAAACCTGCATGGCTGACTGCTGATTGCCTTTTAAGAAAATCTTTTCAGAAGTTTCTGTTACTTCCTGTCAAATAAATGAAGCCTCTGACACATGCAATCCCTACACCAATTAATTTGAAGCTGCATATTGAGACTCCACTCCTAAAATGTCATGACACAGCTTCTCCATAGATAACTGCTCCATAAAACCTTGGCTTTACTGTCGGGCTGTTCTTGTTTGTTTGTAAGATTTGCAGAGGATGAAAATGAACAGTAATTGGAATTACTTCTATGCTAAGCAGGAGTCTACAGTCTATATCTAACCAGATCCATAACATGAAAATCATATTTTTAAACTTGCACTCCCAAGTATTCTCTTTTTATATTCAACCAAAATGGAAATAATAAAATGTTCATAACTTCTGCCCTTTACATAGTAGCAGTATTTTTTATTTTTTTGCTGGTAGGTGCATATCTGAACTTTTTACGTGTAACAAAAAGCTTTAACGTGAACATGTAAATACATGTCCTCTTTTCATTCCATTCATGCAGATCTCTTTTTTTCCCCCATCCAACAGGAGCTTATTTCTCCCGTTTCATTTGACTGCCAATCATCTCTCCTCTGGATTCCCTGCTTTTTTTTTTTTTTTTCATTTTCCACCATCTTCTCCCTCCCAGATTCTTCTCAGTTCTCACACATCTCTGCTTTATTTCAGGTCTTTATCTCTTCACCCCCCCATGCTTACCTGAATTTTTTTTTTAAACATCTCCTACAGCTGTCTGTCATCATCAGCTTTGCCCCCCCAAACTTATAATATTTTTTCTACTTGCTAAGGTTCAAACAGCCCTTTTGTTGCATGTGCTGGGCGTGTGCTGGATGCAGAAAGGCGCCTGAAAGGGGTTAAAGCTGAAAGTTGAAGGTTATAGAGGTGAAGGGGACCCCTGCTGCTCTGCCAGGAGACACAAATGTCACCACGACAGATCTTGCATTGATTAGTCCACCCTCACCTCCTTCTAAAGCCCAAACGTTTGCGTCGGACACACAATGAGAGCTTCATGAAATATTTATTTATAATTTTGCAAAGCTCCAGATTTGCGGTCGAAACGAACCGTTGTTATGCTTCAACCTGTTCACCATAGTGTTTTCTTTAAAATGCATTTGTTTGCTTTTTGCATTTCCACTGAATTGCATTTCACAGGCTCAGTGAGCCTGAAAATAACTCATTAAGGTCTATTTTACTTGGTAACAAGTTTTACATAGAGAAAATGTTGCTGACTGAGTAACCTATTTTTTTTAAAGCGGAAAATTAACCAATTAGACTGAACAGCTGATCAGTAAAAGGCTAAAAAAATGTGGAAGAAGCTGGAATTAAACCATCAACTTTCAGACCGTAAGGCAACTACTCTTCCTACTGAGCCTTAAGCATATCTATCATACAAACAACACAGTTAAACTATACATTTATTCAGAAAGAAATACTCTTACCTCCAGCATTGCAGAAAAAAAATGTTGAATATGTTTTTATTGGTTTTTCTACAGCTGACAGAATCTGTAAAGAGCTGTTTGAGGCAGCATAAAAACAGTCAATTTTATGTGACACCAGAGGCAGCGAGACTGACAGAATGAAAACAACCTATAGCATTCATCACCCCCGCCGTGGGGTAAACAGATCCAATGGGTGAGAATTGAATTGAAATCACCTATTGTGAGTCAGATTCCTACATTCACACCCAGGAAAATCGAGGTGGGCAAATGCTGGGGGGAAAAAAGCGGATGAAGTGACCACTGGTCCCTGTTTGCGCCGTGTGTGGAAATGTGTACTGCATGAGTAGATATGTGTTTACAGATGGATAGCAAGCTCAGGAGTGAGTATTTACAGTACAGTGACTTGTCCATTGATCCCTGAGGGCTTCAAGCATGGCTGACCTCCCTCAGCCACAGTGGGGGCAACATGCCGGCAGCCCCTGAGCCATGACACGGATACTGGTGAGGGAGGGGCGGTTGATATGGTTCATAAATCAATGTTTTGGCTAGTTTTAAAGACACCTGTCATTGCAAACCAGAGGCGTCGGGTTAGGAGGTAAAATAATAAATAATAAGCAACAAAACAAAGAGATGTTAAAATCAGTTAGATTACAATCCAGTTTCGCTCCATCTCCAAAGGATGCATTCTGGAAAAAGGTATATAAACCTCCTGAGCATCAAAATTAAGCCCAGACATAAAATATCATAATGGCAATATTCATGTGGCAAAGGACTGCTTTGACTGCAGCTACAGTTGGATGTGAGATATCTCCTGTATTATCAACTTACATTTGACATAATCCTGTGATGTTAAGCCAGTTGATTAGAGTCTAACAGAAACAGATGCTCACACCAGAAATGAATCATATCACCCATCATGCAGAAAACAGGAATATATCTTACAACCAATAGCATTACCATAACATTTATCAATAAGTTTGGTTCATTAACCTTTTTAAAACTTGATGTCTTTCTAAAGCATCACTGAATGAGAGGATGAGTGAATCCTGGTCTAGTTGTTAGTTTATCAGACCGAATTACCCTATCCTGCCAACTAGATCCCTCTGCAAGATGATCCTTTTTTTAAAACAAACTTTACCTGAATAAAAAACAAGCCAATAACGTTAAAACAATGCTCATTGTCCTCAGAACCGCACTGAGATTTTTTTATCAAG